CTCCAAACAGAATTTATCTTACACTGTGATGGAATGCTGCCTTTATGTTTTCTCCCTCCTAAGGCCTCATATTCACCGCTCAGGATTTAGCAGGCTTCCTTTGATAAATTACTCAAAGTAATCCTTGAAACAGCTAGACTATCTGGGTGATGTGGTGTTAGTTGTCTTCAAGCCATCCCTGTCTATAATATATTCACTTGCAGACTACAAAGGGGGGACTGTTTTTAATGATAAAATTCATAACGAAGAAAAAGGGAAAGAGATTAGTATCTATAAATACAGATAATTTTATATCTAATACTGAATTAAGAATATTACATTTCACTGGTTTACACACTAGTGAAAGTAAAATATAATTGTTTGTTTGTGAGGTATGGACAGAGTTGCCAAGCATAGGACGTAGAGGGGTTTCAACTTTCAGAAACTTTAATTCTTCAAGACCGTTCATGACATGGGGACAGATGCACATTTAGGAATTTGCAAAATGTAGGTATAGCTAGTAACATACAAATTTATATGGAAGCTTTATTTCTTTAGGAGAAAATGTGCTGCTGCATAATTAAAGATATTAAGTTCTGTCTTTTTTTTTTTTTTTTTTTGGTAAATGTTTATTATGTTTCTACAAGAACCAGCAACTTGGAAATGCATTTTCCATGTTCCTTATAAATGCATCCCCCAAGGATGAAGTTCTTGAAGCTTTAAGGCAGTTTTCATTAAAGCTGCCAACTGCCTTTTTATGTGGATTGGCTGTTCAAAGCTCTAGCTCTGAAGCTGGAGCCTCAGTTTTGACATTCTGCAGGCCCTTAGCAAAGAAGTTCCACTCAGGGTTGGAGGGGGATCTTACCAAATCAAACAGCTTTTGGGGGCTAGCAGAAGAGCAGAAAGCACAGGAGTAAATGACTGAGACAAGGCTTTTTAAAAAGAAGAGGGAGGGGACATTCAAACATGTGCCTCCAAGGTGGATATGTGAAAAAAGAAACAGCAGTTTATTTTTCGAGTTTTACCTAGGTTTAAACCAGCTGCTACCTCCACTGCCCCAATGGCCATCTCCTAAGAAAATTCTTTCTGTTTTCTTTTGTTTCCTCATTTCTATTATCCTGGGACTACATAAATAAGAAAAAATTAAGATCAAATGAATACGATTTCACCTCTATTTTAGTAACTGCATGCCTCCAGCTCAATGTATGGGAGTGGTCATGCTGGGTTTTCCGCCAACTTCTGGTATATAGAAATAAAAAAAATACTATTTTACATACGGTGTGAGTGTTTACTAGATGAGGGAGTTAATAAATTAGAATTCAAGTTACAGTGCGTGGACTGATCGATAACTGTTACTCAGGTGGAAATTTGGAGGGGTTGTGTCAAGGTGCTGGGTGCTGATGAGACCCAGGCCCGGCTCACTGTCTCGAGGAGGGTGAAAGTGTGAGAGATAATATGTGTATCTTTTTGGTGTAGTTCTGTTATTCTAGGGTGTTTCTCCTCCAACCAGCGCACCCGGGCAAGAAGGAGTCAGCTCCGTTTCTTCAGACAAGTCCAGCTCAGGGTACGGACTGAGTAGAGGTTCCTCCGGACCTGGGAGAAGAAACTGGGCTGGCGCCAGCATCTCCTCACAGGTGCCTTCATCCTGTCCTTGCGGAAGGAGCTTAGGACACGCGGCAGTCAGCGCCCCAAGGCTGCGAGGCCCGCAGGAACTGCCTGCTCAGTCATTGTCCTAGAGAGTGATCTCGAGGAGCTGTGCTGGAGTGAGGGAGATATCAAGACACCTTGTCAGTTCAAAGCATTTTGGCGTTGTTTGAAATCCTCTCCACGTCAACGTAAGCAGCCTCTGTATTTGAACAGCTGCTTTGAACAGTGAAAGGGAATGAGCTGAATTAAAACCTGAAGGTGTCTGCCCGAGACACCTTCAGCGTGCTTTTATGCGGGAGAAGAGTGGCAGGCAGACGAGCGGACTCTGTCCTGACAGAGTCAGCCCAAAGAATGGGCCCCTGGAGCGCGGGACAGGGGAGGAACCGGTGGAGAGGCCCCCATCTGGACCTAAAGCCTGCGAGAGCCCGAAAGAAGTGCCGCTTCGGGAGGCAGAAAAGGAAGCCCAGGCTGCTCAGAACCCGGCGGCGTTCGCGCCAACCGGGCCCCAGGCGTCTGGAAGGGAGGTGGCGGTAGCTCGGTGGGGAAGTGGTGCTCAGAGCCGCGGTGCGCGCCCAGCCCCACCCGCCCGGCGATTGGCCGAGCTTGGGGTGGGGGTGGGGTGCAGAGACTGAGGCCCCGGGTAGGCTATCGCTTTGTGTACTCCCGGGGATTTATTGGGCATATTAAACCCTGTTGGGAACATTTTGGCTCCGCTACCACCGGCGAAATGAGATGGGGGTGGAGGGTGGAGAGTGGAGACCTGAGACGTCAACATGGGAAGGATCTCAGCATTAATCGCCAGTGATGTCCCACCGCAGACAGGAAGTTTTGATGTACACGTGCAGCCTATTCTTGTCCCCTCACACTAGCGCCCTTTGCCTGGAGGAGGGCGGGGGGTGGATTGGGGTGTGAAGAGAAAGGTAAGAGGAGGAGGAAGTTTTAAATTGATTCAGAGCCAGGCCCCCTCAGTTCCCTAGGAGATGTGTTTAGAAACTTTATTTTTCCCTCCAGTGTATCATCCTATGGGCTGCAGAAGGCCTTGTCCCTAGAGAAATGTGAAATTAAATCCAGAGAAAAGCAGACACCTGCCCCAGAAAGGTGTGGGAGAAGTACGAGCTGCTTAGCATTCAGACGCGGCCCTTCCCCAGGACTGAATTCTTCTGTCCGTGGGAGCTCTGAGCTCCCAGGTCCGGGAAAAGATAGGCGCGCAGGGTCAGGAGAAGATGCAACTGGCTGGCTGCCTGTGCGCTCCCCGAGGCCCAGGGAAAGCCACGCACCTCACCCAGGGGATGCAGGGCCGAAGTTGGGAGAAGGCGGTTCTGCCCTCCACCCAGCCCCTTCGCTCCGCTGTTGAGAAGCCGCGGGCACCAGCTGCCGAGTCTGCGCGCTGAGGCTCGGACTTTTTCATTTTTTCCTAGCTAAGCAAAGTTATGGGATTCCTAGCAGCCCCCAGGCGCGGGGCCAGAGTGGCCCCGCGCTTGCGCTGGGACGGAGCGACACGCTGTGTGTGTCCTCGCCTCGCCGCGCTGGTGCGCGCGTGAAGGGGGGTGCAGGTCCGTCCTGCTGGCGGACTGTGGGCTGGCCCCTCCCCTATCCATTTCTCTCCCACACACACGCTCATAAACACAGGACACGTGGAAATTCTCAGCCAAAGCGTCTTGCCCGGGCGGTTGCTCAGCATGGTGATTTATAAACAGCCACTCTCCAAAGAGCATGGCTCCTTGTTAGTCATGATGAATTTTCTGGCCCGCTCCAGTTCGCTGTCTAGACTGAGATGCTCAGAGGCCCCAAAATGCTCCCTCTAAGCGTTGATTTGGCTGCCCCTCTCTTGCCCACGACCGCCGGCAGAACCAGTGATAGAGCCAGGGGTGAGAGGTGGGGAGAGGATCTATGTTCCCTGAGGTCTGTCATTCCCTTCCTGGCAGTAACTTTTGATTCGCTTTACAGCGCTCAAGTATACACGTCGCCCTGGGTAGCAGTCACACCGCTCCAGCCTGGGTCCCCGCCTGGGTTCTAGCTACGGAGCTTGCAGGCTCTGAAACTGACAGGAGGCACCTGCTCCGGGTGGCTAAGGAACTGATGGCGCGAGGCGCCCGCGCTCCGTAGAGCGGCGCTGCTGGTGCATGGTCCCGTAATCTTGCTCAGGAGTTCACCGCTGAAAGCTGAACTAGGAGCTTGGCCAGGGAGCGCCAAAGACAGACTAACCCCATCCGCTGGCGCCCACAGAAGTTACTGATTAGGAAGATTCCCCTGGCATCAGCCCATTTGTTTCACACACTCTTCCTCCTTTCCGAAGCGGCTAACTGAAAAGTTGCACGGATCAGCGGTAGAAACGCGGGGAATCGCGCACGCAGCCTTTCGGCGCGGCTTCCCGGAGCGGCCTTTGGTAACTGCGCCGCCCCACGAGACCGAACACCCCTCGCCAGCACTCCTGCAGCCTCGCACAAGGCGGAGCCCACGCAGGCTTCTACTTTTCTAAACCAAAAACTGTGCGCGTGTGAATCTGACGGAGAGACTTTAGAGTTTTGTTTTGTTTTCAATTCAGACCGCTGCGCTGTCAGAACAAGCAACTCCGAGCCTTGACTGGAGTGACTTACAAGCCGCGGCGCCGGCTGAGCCTGCCTCTCTGGGAGTTCTTTCGCAAAGGGACTGGGAGACCATTGGGCTTGGAATCTAAAAGGAAGAGAGCCTGTGCTAGGCACGGGGTAGAGGGGAAGAAGGGCTTTATTGGGGCAGAAGTGTCCTCACACCCTGGAGCAAGAGACACTTGAGCACTGAAATGCTAACGGTGGGATGCAAGGAGACTTGAATATCGGAACAAGTCTGGCTCTTGACTCTAGGTTTAGGAGAAACTGTGTGTGTCCCTAGGTGAATAAAAATCCGACTCCTGCTGGCTCGGTGTAACCCAGCTTTTCTCTTAGCCCCTCCGTTCCCCTCCTCTCAAAGCCCTATTGGGAAGAGAAAGTGGACACCACCTTCCCCCAGACCCCCGCCCCAATCCAAGTCTTCCAAGTGTCTGAGGTCGATAAGAGCACCGGGACCGCCCCCTTGCCCGGCTTTTCTGCCTGGGAGACAGATGGGGGGCGGGGCCCATCCCAGAGAGGGCGGAGGAGGCCCTGGGTGAGGAAGAAGGGGGGTGAGAACTGAGAGAATCTGAATCGGAAGGCGAAGGGGACTGGGAGGAGGTCTAGGAGGACTCGAAGCCCGGGGGAGGAGGAGGGAGTAGCCCTGCGCCAATCAGTGGTGCCGGCCTGGGAGGTTGCTAGCGGTATCCACGTAAATCAAAGGGCGCGGAGCCAATGGGAGGGGGCGGAGGGGGCGGGGCCCAGGCGCGTGCCGCTGCGAGCCGGCGCTGCCAAGAGAGCGGGAGAGAGCTGGAGAGAGCAGGGAGAGGGGGGAGCGCCGAGCTAGTCAGAGAGTGAGCGAGAGCGAGAAGGAGGGAGAGGAGGAGAAAGAGAGCGAGGGCGCGCGGGCGGGCGGGAGGCGGCGGCGGCGGCGGCAGCAGCAGTAATAGCAGGAGCAGCAACAGAAGGCGTCGGAGCGGGCGTCGGAGCTGCCCGCTGGGGGAGAGAGAGGAGAGAGAAAGAGCGAGCGACGAGAGGGAGCCCGAGGCGAAAAAGTAACTGTCAAATGCGCGGCTCCTTTAACCGGAGCGCTCAGTCCGGCTCCGAGAGTCATGGCGACCGCAGCGTCTAACCACTACAGCCTGCTCACCTCCAGCGCCTCCATCGTTCACGCCGAGCCGCCCGGCGGCATGCAGCAGGGCGCGGGGGGCTACCGCGAAGCGCAGAGCCTGGTGCAGGGCGACTACGGCGCGCTGCAGAGCAACGGACACCCGCTTAGCCACGCTCACCAGTGGATCACAGCGCTGTCCCACGGCGGCGGCGGCGGGGGCGGCGGCGGCGGCGGGGGGGGCGGGGGCGGCGGCGGGGGCGGTGGCGACGGCTCCCCGTGGTCCACCAGCCCCCTGGGCCAGCCGGACATCAAGCCCTCGGTGGTGGTGCAGCAGGGCGGCCGCGGCGACGAGCTGCACGGGCCGGGCGCCCTGCAGCAGCAGCACCAGCAGCAGCAGCAGCAACAGCAGCAGCAACAGCAGCAACAGCAGCAGCAGCAGCAGCAGCAGCGGCCGCCGCATCTGGTGCACCACGCCGCTAACCACCACCCGGGGCCCGGGGCATGGAGGAGCGCGGCGGCTGCAGCGCACCTCCCACCCTCCATGGGAGCGTCCAACGGCGGCTTGCTCTACTCGCAGCCCAGCTTCACCGTGAACGGCATGCTGGGCGCCGGCGGGCAGCCAGCCGGGCTGCACCACCACGGCCTGCGGGACGCGCACGACGAGCCGCACCATGCAGACCACCACCCGCACCCGCACTCGCACCCGCACCAGCAGCCGCCGCCCCCGCCGCCCCCACAGGGTCCGCCTGGCCACCCAGGCGCGCACCACGACCCGCACTCGGACGAGGACACGCCGACCTCGGACGACCTGGAGCAGTTCGCCAAGCAGTTCAAGCAGCGGCGGATCAAACTGGGATTTACCCAAGCGGACGTGGGGCTGGCGCTGGGTACCCTGTATGGCAACGTGTTCTCGCAGACCACCATCTGCAGGTTTGAGGCCCTGCAGCTGAGCTTCAAGAACATGTGCAAGCTGAAGCCTTTGTTGAACAAGTGGTTGGAGGAGGCGGACTCTTCCTCGGGCAGCCCCACGAGCATAGACAAGATCGCAGCGCAAGGGCGCAAGCGGAAAAAGCGGACCTCCATCGAGGTGAGCGTCAAGGGGGCTCTGGAGAGCCATTTCCTCAAATGCCCCAAGCCCTCGGCCCAGGAGATCACCTCCCTCGCGGACAGCTTACAGCTGGAGAAGGAGGTGGTGAGAGTTTGGTTTTGTAACAGGAGACAGAAAGAGAAAAGGATGACCCCTCCCGGAGGGACTCTGCCGGGCGCCGAGGATGTGTACGGGGGGAGTAGGGACACGCCACCACACCACGGGGTGCAGACGCCCGTCCAGTGAACTCGAGCTGGGGGGAGGGGCAGAGCGCGGGGCTCCCCCTCCCTTTGGGTCCTTGGCCCTTTCCCGGCCCTCTTGTTCCCTCTCTAACTTCTGATTGTTCTTTTATTTTTAATTATTATTTCCCCATCCCTTAAAAAGAAAAAAAAATTAAGGAAAAAGGAAAGCAACTAAGACACTGGACTATCCTTTAAAGGTAGCAGGTGTAATGATGTGTTTTGACCTTTGCAGGCGAGTAACCAGGCAATGGAGGGGAGTGTCTCCTGGAGAGAATGAGGAGAGTGTGTGATAGATAGAAAGAGAAAGAGATAGAGAGATGGCAAGCACTGAGATAAATACCTGGCAAAACTAAATAGATTACCAAAAAGGAAAAAAATGTCCACCAAACCATGATAAACACAAAACGCAGCTTCCTGATGCTTGGAGTTGGCACATGCTGCTGTGTTTATTTGATGTGGATTCCCATCAGGAAAGAGGAAAAAATACACACTTTCTCTGATATAGGTAAAATTTAAACACATAAATTTGCACTGCAAGAAAATCGAAGTTTACATGAACAAATTCGTGAACATATTTTCTCTTTCTCCCGACCGTTAATTTGGGAATTGCCGTTTTGGGGGATTTTGTTTTGTTTTGCTTTATTCATCTGAGAGAGTTGAAGCCAGCTCTTGGCCACTCTCCATTTCTAATGTTCTTGTGTTGCCCCTTGTTCTTACTGTTTGTGAACTTTGGTTACCTTCAGATTCCCCTTATGTGGGTGTAACATCTATTTGTTCCTCTTACCAAAGCAAAACGATTGGCTTCATACAAAATACATAATTCTCTGCTTTCAGGAAATGTGCATGGTCTACCTGCTTTGTCCAAGGCAAGAATCCAGTTTGGAATATAAAAATAAGAGTCAAGCATTGGTTGTTGTTACCAGCCACAAAGTAAACTTCATTTTCAGGCAGTGTTTCTGGGGGAGGTTATGGAGGGAAGAAAAAAGAAAAATCGATAGTGAGTGACTGATTGCTTCATTTTATCAGGCGGGCCCATTGTGAAAGAGCTCAGAGGAAATGTGGAGGTTAAATATATTCCCAGAGTTGTCCAGCAGAAAGAAAGTGGCACTTTGAAGAGAACTAGGGAAATACATAGCTTCAGATATCCCTATATAGTTCTCTACCTTCAGTTTTAATACTATTATGAAGAATTATTTGTGCTGACAGCAGCAGTAAACTTTGTTTCTCTAATTTTTTTTACATTAAAAAAATGATCCAGGAACTTAATAGTGTATGCATAAAACTGTGTTTTTTAACACACAAATACCCACAGCATACACAGATGATCTCCACAAAGTAGACAGGTTTTGTCTTCACTAGCTCATTTGTTTATCAAGTCATATTTAGGGTCCCACACCCTCTTTTCCTGTAATTTATTGCAGAATATACCACTTTGACTTGGACAGCTTTCTCCCCCTCTTTCACTAAGGAAAGCAAATGAAGTGGGGGGAAAATGCCATTTTCAATCCTTCCTTTCTCCCCTTTGTTAATAGTTTTAAGTGCATTTTTGATCTTATCTTGATGGAAAATGGTTAACTCAAATACAAAAGACTCTACTGGAAAGTGTAGGTGAAAAAACTTGTAACTGTATTGAAAATAAATACCATTAAACTGTGATCAGTTAAAATTTAAAAGAGAAATCAGCACAAAAGGGCGCTAAAAGGGAAAACACTTTTTATTAATCTTAAAAGTTTGGGGTTTTTTTTTCCAGTTAGGTATTAGATAAATTTTTATTTTAAAAAATGAAATTCTCACTACCATAAAATTATGGTTCAGCATCAGATTAGCATTGCACTCAGTAGTCTTTAAGGTTTTAGGAAATATGCTTTATATTGTCTTTTCAAACACCTGTGATTGTTTCATTTTCAATGTTTTTGCAAGATAAATGGTGACTTATAATGGGCATATTTATTTGCCTGTATTTCATTTCCCCCAATGAATGTCGCAAGGAGATGGGCACGGAGCTGCTTCTGGTGCATCACGCTGCTCGTTCCTGAGGTATGGGGACTGGCCTTTAGTGAAGCAATCCAGAGCAGGGCAAATAGCCACTGGTAAAGGGAGGAAATGAATTTTCAGATACTTATTACCAAGTAGGTAAGGTCAGAAGCTGGAGTTTAGAGGATGTGTCTACAGCTTCTCTGACTCTTATAGGTTTACTAAGATGAAAGTTACCACTGAACCTTACCACTATGTATATATGTTTAATATCTGTCTTTTGAAATGCAGAAATAGTTTAAATGTTTCTTTGTCTATTTTTCTTTTTTTTTAATGCTACCCAGGGAAATATTTTCATATCATTTTTAAGTGGCCTGCCTCAATGTATATTTATTTCTTTTGAAGCAAAAAGGTTCTGGAAACTGTTTTTCTGTAGCTTTAAATGAATAGGTGAGCAAAATCTATATGGGATGTAATTTTTTTGTTCAGTCTCTTAAAAAATACTTTGTTTTGGTACATTTGGTTGTGCTTGTGGGGAAAAATAAAAACGCAGAGATCCTTATATATTTATGTTAAAGTAATATTTTATTATCTACATAAAACAGAAATGCACAATACCTTCATAGTTTGTTCTAATTATTGAAATATCTTTATTTTATTTTTAAAGATAATGCCAAGTTTTAAGGGGGGAAAACCCTAGACTTTAAATTGACTGAGTTGAGTTGTGTGTAAAACACTTCCCTTCCTTTATACTTCATAAAGTTTTGGAATAAATTTTATGCATATACCGCCAGATTTCATGTTCATAACTTTCAGAGGCTTTTTTTTTTTTTTTTTTTTTTTTTTTACGGAGACTACTGGTTTAAATCACTTTTTTTTGCAAAAACTATCAGTCCCAAATCTTTCAGCCACTATGCCCGTAGCATTAAATTGAAATGGTCATTGGGTTTGAGCTTCAATTTGTTTGCCATTTCATGGTCCTACAAAGAGATGTTTGCCCCCTTTAAATATATGCAGATATGCCTGCGTCTTCTTTTCAGGTTATCTGTACCTTATTCAATTGTGCTGTTTTGGAGATCATCAGTGGAACTAGGTGGATTTTAATCTCTACCCACAGGTCCTCACATAATTTGGTATCTACAGAACAGCAGGATTTAGGAGATTATAATTTATAATAATTTACAAATATCTCTCAACAAAGAATAACCCTGATAGTATGCTATTGCATGTTTACCAAATGATTAGAGGTAGATCCTATATATTATTCCTGTTTAGTTTGCATAAAAATATGAATTTTACAATGGTTTATACAATTGTGTCTCTTTTTCATTAGGCATACAAACAGACTTTAATGCAAGTAAAAAATTTAAAAAAAGAACATATGGGAGAGATTCAAGCCGTGATGCTAATAACAGATTGTTTCAGACAATCTTAGATGAAACAGTACACTTACCAAAATTCGTTTTAAGGTTAGTGAGAATTTCAAGCAATGTTGAATCAGTTTACAAGTTTGCTGATGTATTTAAAGCCCTTCTTGGAACATTGGTTTAAGTATAAATGTCCATTTTGAAAGGTAGTTTCTGGGCTTATTACATCTGATCATCTTTTCTAACTCCTAGTCAATATTACATGGGTCTCAAACAGATTCAGCCAAATGATCTTATCAATAGTCTGAACGAGAAGTGACAGAAAGAAGAAGTGTTTTGTGACCGCAGACATGCTGATGGGTAAAATGTTTAAGCTGGGTATAGATTTGAGTTCTGGGTCAATATTCTTCCCCATTGCAGGCAGAAAACAAGCAGCATCTGCCCTCTGCAGGGCATTTTAGTGGACCTTGAGAAGGCATTTTTGTTCTTAGCCACAGGGGCAGCTGACTGGAAACCATCACATGTTAAATGTGCGCACCATGGTTTTGACCCATGCTTGCTGTTCAGATCCTAAGGCTATTCGGGTAGTTTCCACACTGGTTTGGGAATATATTACACATTAAGGTGGAAAACCCCCATCACTGCCACTGGGAGAAATTTGTGGGACAGTTGCTCCTAAGATGTTGGCTAGCTACAACAACAAACCTTTCTTTCTCCTAAGACAATGCAGAATACAGCTATTCCAAAGACCTCTCGTGTTTCCTCAAAATATGTTACTTTTAATATTTATGTAATAATATGGGGGAGAAACAATCATGTGAAAACGAGTTATGTGAAGGTCAGATGGAGGGAATAGCCACAAATAATATTATGCTTGGCAGTCCTAAACATTCTAGGTTCCCACGAAGTAACTGCCTTTATATTTCAGATGGTAGCAACAAAAGCATTCTTCTCTTCCCCTTTCCCTCCTGCTCCTACCAGTGGAGGCCACACAGTGGTTGGCAAAATTTTCTAGTGAAATGGCTTTGGTAAAGACACTCATCTACCTTCTTATTTTTTCAAAAGCAACTAATAAAGAGATGCAACAGCAACAGTGGGGGAGGTGGGTGGCATTTGGGTGCAATAGTACCTGCACATATGTCTATATGCTGCATTAATTGCCTTTCACTTGCCTTACTTTGGAGGCAGCTTGGGTAGTGCTGGAAAGTGGGTTAAATTATCTTTTTATCACTAGTCTCTGTGATTTGTCTTTGTTGATTTTTCAATCAGTTTATAGAACTCTGTTCTAGATTCTACTGAATTTCTACACAAGTTTAAAAATGAGGTAAAGAATGGAACTTGTACAGGAAAAGAAAGAAGCCTGATGAAGTGAGGGTAAAAGGTAAAAGTGATTCTTTGGGTCTGCTTGTATATTTCAGTGAGTAAGGCAAAGGACAGTGTTTATTTAAAATGAAAGAAAAAGATGCATCTTGAAGTACTACGAATCTTGATATTATAACTAAATGGAATGTACAACTAAGTTTTATATAAACATTTTCCCTGTTTAGGAAAGTTTACTTTTCAATGATGCATAGTCTTTTAACAGGGGGCAGATGGCAGTAAGAGAGAATCTGGGCTTCTGATACCTATTCCCACCATTCGATTCAGGATGGGAAACAAGGCAAAAGTGGCAAGGGGTCTGCCACCAGCTAACCAATCATGGAATTAACTGGCTCAGGTTTTCAGAAGGTGGGCCATATTATTTTAACGCCTCCTTATCAGGCAGGTATGAGGGTACCAGAAAATGGCTTTTTTAGTTATTCCTAAGGCCTTGCTTGGCTGATAATGAGATAAGGAAACAACGAATATTTTCACTTTTTTTTTTTTTTTTTTTTTTTTGGTGTTTGGTGGGAAACTAGGAAATTTGTTCCCTCCTTTAAAAGAAGAAAAGTTAACAAACTTCATCATATAGTACCTTCCTTTATCTTAATGACACCTCTGCTTGACTTAGAGGTTTTAGAAATGATTTCATATCCCATAAAAACAATCCTGGCCTCTTTTATTGTTCCTAGAATTCTGATTGTTGGTAACATTAAGTTGTATTTCTTCTTTCTTAAGTCTAAAATGTTATTTAATATGCCAGTAAAAGTGCATCTATATCCTAAAGTTTATTCCTTCCACGTCTTTCTGAGTTTTTATAGCTCTTTGTCTGAGAGTTGGGGAGGGCGACTTCCATATGCGGTTTGTGCCTGAAGAGCCTAGGCTCCAGTGTTCTCTAGTTGGCGGCAAACAGCTCTCTGCTCTCAGAACGGGGAGCTGTCATCTAGAAAAAAGAAGGAAATAAATCCCCCACAAAGATGTAGTTGTCACCAATTTTAGGAAGACGGGAGCCCTAGAACTCCATCTGAGGGATATAGAAAGGATTTTGATTGTTATGAAATGTATACGATTAACTTTGCGTGTGAAGCAACGGCAGTAGGAAACTCCACTGTGGAGTAAATTTGAATTTGCGTCCTTTTTTTTTATTTGGGTCATATATTTTTCCTCCCACCAGTGTTTCCTCTGGGTTTGTTGTTTAAAAAGAAAAAAAAAGCCACGCACCAAAAAATATGGTCACAGAGAGTCTGGCAGGAGGATGGGAAAAAGAAAGTTTCTTGTGGGTTTGTAACACAAATTAGCCATTGTAAATCACTGGGCTTCAAGGTTCAGGCACATCTATGTGGAAAGTGTTGGGAGTTCTTTTCCTCCTCCTGTTAAGAAATCTCATTCTGTCAGAGGAATTTTCGTGTTCCACAGCACGTGATTCTGGAGACAATTATTTGACATTAATAACTTTTTGTTGATGTTGTTCCCCTAACAAATATTCCTTCAAAGTGGGTGCCGCGCCTGGACGAGTCGGGTGAGTGTGCTGCCGGCCAGCATCTGCTCCCTGACCAGTCGCAAAAGAGGTGCCTTGGCCTCCCCGCGCACCCCCCACCTCAGGGACCCAGGCCGCTGTCTGGAGGTCCTTACAGCCGGCTCCGTCTCACAGGGAGGAAAGAGAGGGAGAGAAGCCGGGCACTCCCTAGACTTCCACCCCAGGCCTTCACTCGGAAAGGAACGCTGCCAGCAGCCCCTGAGTGCCTGCCTGGAAAGCTGGAATTCTCTGCTGCTCCGGGGCTCCGAAGCCCGGACCCCCAGGGGAAGTGTCAACAGCTCGGAGGTCTAGCTGTTCCACTCTCTCGCTTCCCAGGGAAGCGGCGTGGGGTAAGGGGGACAGTTGGTGGGTTTACCCGCCCCAGCAGAGGCTAGAGGTGGCGGTTAGGAGGAGTCCAGATGTCTTGGGTATGGCTGTCGCCCCGGGAAAGTGGGATCTAGACGCAGGAGTTGGCAGGGCCTCTCTGGGGGCGCGTGTGGCTGGGGCAGAGGTTCGGGGCTCTAGGGGTGACAAGGGGTCGAGGCCCAGAGGAGAGTCTCCTAGCTTTCTGCCTGCCCGGCTTTTCCACTTGACTCTGCAAAGTCGGGCCCAGGACATTGCACCTGCATAGGAGAGGCAATTGTGGAAGACAGTGCCCCTAGAGAAAGAGGGAGATGAGAGGAGTGCAGGAATACTGGAGAGGAAAGCGTGAGCGCTGCCCAGGGAAGCACAGTAATCTGGGCTTTTCCTGCTTTTGTTCGGGGGCGGCGGTATTGACGAAAATGGTGGGGGACAGCTGAGAGCTTAGGAGCAAAGTTCTGAGGCAGGTTCCCTTCAGCTCCCACCCAGCAAACTTCTGGGTGTTTCTGACCTCAGCTCCCTGCCTCCAGTGATCAGGAACCTACTCTCCAGCCGCTGAAGCACGGAGGAAACCGAATTCTTAGACCCCCTGGAAAGCACTTCCCTGCTGGGTTTGAAGTCAGTTCCCAGCAGAGGAAAGTCCGTTCCCTAGAGAAGGGGGCCCGGGAGCCCCTCTGGGCTCCTCGGCATCTCAAGCCAGAGCTCAGGGCCGCAAAAGTGAGGGGCCGCTCCTCAGTACTGGAGGCCTAGCGTCCATCTTCGGAACTGAGGGCTCTCAGGGCCCGCGTAAGTCCCCCTTAGTCCTCTGAGGCCCGAGGGAGGAGTCGCCCTGTAAGAGGAAATCACTCAGCTCTGAAAAACGTCGCAAACAGGCGGTGGGAGAGTTCTAAAGCGGCCTTTCGCCTGTCGGAGGAGGTGAGGCCAAGCGGGGGTCATGTGGGTTTGGGACCCAGCACTGCACCACAGGGCCGCAGAGGCGGGAAGCTGGCGGGAGAGGAGTGGGAAGGCGACCAAGGCCAGCAGCAGGGGCTCCCGCGGGGCGCAGGTCTGTGCTGGCGCCCGGCCTGGCCTCCGCCTGCGCGGCGGAGCCTCCCGGTGGCTCCCGCCGCACCCGCCCGCGGCCACTCACCCGGCCCCGCGGCCAGCCCGGGCGGGGTCGTAGAAGCAAACAAGGATGCTTCTATTTACTCGCC